GTATGTGACTTCTTCCTCAAATTGTAGGCGAAAACTTACTTTTCCTTAAACACGATGTACACAATGCGCAGTTTGTAAACCTTGAATTCCAGTGTGGCAGTCAGTAAGTTTCAAAGTTATTCGACAATTCAGAAACCTTTTTAAACCGAAATATACCCTTCCTTTAAATATTAAATTTGAAGGAGACGTAATTTTCTACCAAATGAGTACAAGAAGTAATTTTTTCGTATACGTTTTCCATAAAATATATTTGAATTTAGAAGGGCAGTCAAAATCAATGATTAAAACACATAGTATTTCAGTGGTTTATTTTTTACAGTACAGAGGTTTTTTTTAGCGGTCAGAAATAAGTTCGTTAAAAAGCCCGCATCCTATCATGACTGAGATGACTTCAGAATAGACTACACGATAATTAGGATCACAATCTGAGTCAATGCCGATTAGCGAAAGAATATCAAACTTTCGCATCTGTCAGCAGGTTGTACGAATTGTGGTGCGTAATGTAAATAGGTAAAACATTTGCCGCGGCGATCTTCATGTCCGGTTTCCTAAGAGAAGACAAGAGGTGAGACGTTAGGTGGGAGGAATAATGTAGTCAGTGCAGAGGTTGAGAAAAATAGGATGGAGGAAGTTGACAGTCGGACGAGTGCGCTTCCGGTCGCGAGTGACACGGTGTCCGAAGTGTGTGGGTGTGGCAGTCGTGACCGTGAGGTCCGCCACGGGGAGCTGGGCGGCCTGACCGGAATGGAGTATGCAGACTGGTGCATGCGCACTTGGTAACAACCGCAAGAGGTTGACCGGTAGCGCAGTTTGCGGCACCCTTTCCAAAGGCGGGCCGAGAACTGCTTTCACGTGATCGTATCCGTGGCCGTAGATGGAAGGCGTTACAGGGTCACTACATATCAGCGCATTCCACAGTACAGTCAATCTGGCACGGTTTTTTCCAATTACAATGTGCCAGGGGTTGTGACCTTGAAGTCTGCCCATGACGTCATCCCAATGTGACTGTCGAGGCGCTATATTCGACAACGTGAAGTTTTCCCAAAACAAAAGTCACACAAGGCAGTGTAGGTTGGATTTGTTGATGAACGTTCACCTACCACTACCGGAACTCATTTATCCGCTCTGAGTTGGGCCTCATTTCTCGGGCCGAGACAGCAGCTGTGGCGGCAAGTAATCTTCGGCAGGTAATCTTACCGGCTGGTCAAGTCGCGAATTCACGCCTTGGGTGGTGTAGCACTTAAGGCTGGGTGTGACTTACTGATGACGGGCAGTTAGCCAGAAATTGCCAGTCCAGACTTCGTTGGCTTTGCCGGCAATACTACCTGCCTACGTTTAGCTTGCTATAAATAAGAGAATGAGTTTAGACGAGGCTCCTGTCACCGGCCATAACAACAATGTTTTTGTTTTCCCGCACGGCCGCGACCAACCGATGAAGAGAAAAATATCGATCGGCATCATGGCAGTGCAAGCCAGAGATCGGAACATTCGTGTGTCTGGAGCTTATCAGGCACGAGTGCGTAAGGCTTGGCAGGTGAAGGCAACACGAGTTAACGTTAGCTGCCCTGATCGTGGGCGCTGACTGCCATATGGCCCCTATGTGACTCTCACAATCCTGAGAACCGATCTCCCTACCTACGAAAACAGGGGGCACCAGGTTGTGTGAAGCACGCATAAACGGGTCCTTTAGTTTTTTCATTCACTGTGTCCGGGTGCACCTCCGCTTGTACTGAATCTATCGTACTACTGCAGCCAGTCGGGTGAGGGAGGAGAAAATAGGGCAAAAAGTGCGCACGTTTGCCTCACTATAACCTAACGCAATTCGCCGTCCCTGTATCCAACGTCCTGCTGGATATACAGTACGCCAAAGAAGTCATGCAAAGGTCATAACGAAATTCCACTTTAGCATAGTTTTGGTCATGCTATTTTTACCTAGCTATTGAATTTAATCCCGAGAATCTATTTATTAAGGAAAACTGTCTTTTCGGTTTGGTTTATTGAGCGTAATAGGCATTAATTTCGACGAAATCGGAGGTGGCCGGATTTGGAAGTAATTTCCTACGCTATAAAGTACGACAGAGCTAAACCTCTCAGAGACATGCCTTATGCTATGGGAGAACCCCAAAATCAGTAAGAAAAGTTTAAAATATATCCTTTACAGAATCGGAAAATTTGTCTGAAGTTGATCAAATTCAAATGAAGCCAACAGTAAGGAATCGCATTTATTCTCAGAAACAAGGAACAATTTAAGTTTTTAAAAATATTTGTTGCCAATGTGCAAAGCTATTTGCCAAACCCTGCAGTACAAAATGTGTTGACTGCATTTTATTTAACCACTTTAACGATTTGGGACTGGAAAAATGCTTATATTATGTATATCATGTATATGTATGTATATTTATATACGTATATAATCGTGAATACGAAGGTAAACCAATCTTATTAAGTCTGCAGCATGTGGCAAGATATTGTCTTGGACAATATAATTTCCTTTTATGCATAATCTGGAAGCAAAACAGACAGATGGTTAACAATATTCTAAAAACCTTAATATACATTCGCCCACCCCACTTTGCTTTTTCAAGCTTACAGCAGAGACTGAGATTACTCCACTTTGACGAAAAATACTCCGTTAGGAAAAAAAGGGTTCTTTCCTTTCCAGCGAAACTGTGTCATTTATTTTTGGGTAGTTAAAAATCATGTCAAACTTCCCATTTCAAAACTTTTACCTTGAAAAGAGGTAACACACACAGATATCCATCAGCTGAATAGCTAACTAAAGTGGTTTTAAGGAGGTAACCTATGATATAAACTTTTTAGTCTACTCTTAGGCATAGCAGTATCGGACTTCTGTTGCGGACGTTTTTTTGCTCGGCAATCTTCGTAAGAACTTTTATCCAAAAAATCTTTTTTCGGTAAATGCTTTTGCATGACTTCTCCGCCGTACTGTAGGATGGACGCTGTCACATTCAACGATCGAACGTTAGTTAATCAGCTGTCAATGTCACCCTAAAAACGACTAAACCTGTTTGACAAAAAGTCTAAAATCAGCCAACAACGCATACCAAAAAGAAGCGAGTATCCGATATGCATGCAAAGTTGGTACCGGAAATCCACATACGGTGTAATTTGAACTCTGTGCATGCGTCAAGAAGCTATTACGATTCAATGCTGACATCGATGCCTCCATTAGAATTGCTTATATTCAGCCCTGACAGGACAGGGGATTAGAAGGCCTTCTCCCTCTTAATACGGGTGGCCACAAGCTAACTTTCACGACATAATGCACTTTCAGTATACTTACTCACTCCGTTTATGTTGACCGTAAGTAGCATGTTCCTGAATGTTTGGTGACTTCTTTTTGATCATATGGGTCCCCAGACTCTTAACAGTGAGGCCGTCTTTTGCGCTTTCTTTTGCTTTGCTCTACATCATAGAATGTGGTTGTTTGTCCTTTATTTATTTCGTCTAGAAGTGGAAGGTGAAAGGACTGTCGTGACTAGCTCGCGCTGAGGTAAACTTTCTTGAAGTCCCGCATCCGTTAATCTCGACGTCTAGGAACAGCCAATCACAGTTGCCGCAAACTTGCTTTCTGACCCGGCGAGGAATAGCAAGCCTGCACGTGTGAATTGCCCTTTCTGCCCACTGGCCTGTCTGCTGTCAAACTAGCATTCGGACCCGGCTGGCCTCCTGGCTGGTCGTATGATCTCAAGTCAAACTTCTTCCTGATTATTCTTCGTTCCTCTGTGTGCGCAGTAAGCTATTCCTAATGCTCCGGCCTTACCAATACTTCTCCCCTCCTAAGGAACCATGGTCTGAAGATCGCAGCTCCGAGGGTTTAATTTACATAACTCCCTGCGATTGGACAGCCTTTAGGACCAATCGACTGCTATGCGGCCGATAACGAGAGCTCTGAATGAAACGGCACGCAGGCCGCTCAAACGATTCTTGCAAACAGGGCTTGGGAGGACATCCTTAATTAATGTTACGCGGTAGCAAAAGTGATTCTCCTAATCATCCATCTTTTTAGAGCAACACTGTTGGCTGCCACAAGAAGATAAGAACACATCTGTCTGCCCGATAAAAACCTGGAAGCGACAAGGGTGTCCAGGAGTTAACGAATCTATCCCCTAAACGACAGTTGCTAATGGAATGAGCCTGATTGAGGCCATCTCTAAATACTACACTCCTTGTCACTCCATTCGCCTGTCTCTCATGCTTGATTCGAGTAAGAAGCCGAAACGTCAGAAACATTACATTCTTGTTCTAACGATCGCTTCTTCTTTATCTTCTTCTTCTTCTTCTGTTCTACACATCATAGATCATTTTTTGCAGCAGTATAGTATATGACCTGAAGATAGGTATACGTCCGTGCATGACTTCCAGGTTTGAATTTCTAGGAGTCGAGGGAGATGAATAATCTATCAACTAGATGATAGGTTGTTTCATAGGGCAGTTGGTAAAACGTAATTAGGGAATACACGGAAGGATTTGTGTCTGTACGGCGCCTACGCGATGACTGACAGACCGGGTCTGAGTCATCTGTAGCTATTTCTCTGCGATATGTAATTGACGCGATAATGACTTTGTGTCAGTCAAAATTCCTCCTATGTATGCGCTCTCAACCACACCCCCGTACGCCTTCCCCAGACGGCAATTACACTTTCCACCAGGGATGTACAACTGCAAATTCGCGTCTTCGAAGAGGCTTCTATGTGAGACCAAAACTAATTTTCGCGCTGAAGACCTAATGGGCCGCTACAAACCTTTTATCGGTCTAATTTCACGCCACTTGGAAGGTACACAAGCAAAGTACTCTACAGAAGAAGAAAAAGATGCAATTGCCGGAACAATAATTTTATTGGCCGGGTCTTTTGGAGCTCAGTTTAGTTCATTTAATTGGAGGGAAATGTAGGTGGGTCACTTTTGAACTCTCTATTTGTGTATATACCTGTTATAATATCAAAACATTGTTGGCTGTCTTACTTACCTACCGGACATGAAAGTTTGCCCCGGTGTCTTAAAAATCCGCCCATATGAAGTAAAGGACGCGCGCTGACGCTTGTATGTCAGCTATTGATACAATTATAGGAATATGTTATTAAAATATACTACCCGCTGGTCTTAGTAAGTATGATTACTGGAATTAGCACTCATATCCGAACTTAGTAAAACTTGGCACAGCTTTTGGTGGACAGAGGTGAGAAGGTGGAAACCAAGGAAAGCCCTGTTGCGCTCCGGGCTTCAAATAGAATAGCATAATTCGAGGCTCACACTTCTTGTTGAGATTGCGGAAATATGAATGCAGCGTTGACTTGAATCAGCGCCACTTCTGACTAATAATAGCGCCATTAATAGTACCAATACTACTATCACTCAGTTACACTCCTAGCGAGTAGTAATAGAAACAGCAGTACCAGTACCAGCCTTGGTTTCCTTGAGTCTGTCTTGACACCTATTGCGGGTGATTGGGAGTAAATAGTGCGTAGAACCTGCGCAAAAGGCTACTGTTACTAAAGACTAATTTTAGGCGGTGTTCTCGCCTGCATTGGTGAAAGCGACCTTCGCCTGATTCCATTCGGTCATCATGACTTTGTCTTGTCACCGGTTCGGATGGGTTAGGGTTTAGAATTATGTGGACAGTTGCGCGTCTATTTCACTTAAATCTCTTCTCTGTCTCCACTCGCCGTACCTGCTCTCGGGCATATGGTGGACATCATCGAAATCGGTGGTCGAACTAGCATATAAAAATAG